GACGACCTGCTCCTCGATAACGTCGCCGTCGCGGAGCAGGCGGCCCATGTTGAGGAACTTCATCGGGATGCTTTGGATCGTCGCGGCCATCTCGGGGAAGTCGTCGGACCACTCAGCGCGGACCTGGTCCCGAAGCTCCGCCACCGTCGTGCGCGCGCCGTCGGGCTGGCGGAAGGGGACCTCGAGGTGGAATTGCTTCCCCGCGTAGGCCTCGTGGCAGGAGCCAGTGAGCACGAAACGAATCTTTACGGCAGTCATGGTGAGAGCTGGGATGTGGTCAAAAAGGGGGAAAAGGGGGGATTACCGCTGTGTTTTTGTTGGGGAAAGGGGATTCCTACTTTTTTCGGATTGGTGTGGATGTGGGAATTCGCTTGGGGTTTTTTCGAGGAAAAAGATGGTTATGACTTGGGTTGGAAAGTTGTGAAGGTTGGGTAGGGAAGAGAAAGAAGCGAAAAAATGATAAAAAGAACACGAGGACCGCTCTGGGATGCGTTAACAATTAAAAGGGAGGCTCGCGTCAGCATTAGCCGCATTCGCCCCCATGGAATTCAACGTTCTTTTGTGCATAAACCCTAATATATATCAAAATATTTTTTAGGGGATGGAAACTAAACCGATATGCGCACACTCACCTCGACTCCTGAGGCTTTCTAATAACTCTTTCCGGCGACCTCGCGACGATGGCCAGGGGGAGGTGTAAAAGTGATGGGCGGGCGGTAAATCGGGCCCTTAAAATCCATCGGTAGCAACCCATTATACAACGCCCAGGGCTGTCGACGTCGGCTGGAATACACCGTCCCGATTAGCTGCCGGCCGCCCTGAAGCCGAGCTCGCACGTGCTGCTGAATGACCGCCTGCCGACTGATAAATTTCCCCTCCGAGCGATGCCACCCCCACAGTGCCCACATATCCCGCGGCATGGGCGAGGCGCCCTCCTCATTCACGCTCAAATAGCCCTTTTCGGCCGTAAACGAGCCAAGACGGTCGAGCTGGTCCATCCACATTGAAAACTCTGTATCGACCCGCATGACGGCAAAAAGGGCCTTCCGGCGAAGGCCCTCGTGAAAATATTCCGCGCACTCCTCCCGCGTCTTCCCACAAAGCCGCCCGGCTAACATCAAATTCACATAACTCTGCGCGTTCGGCTCCAGGCCGAGGGCTCGCATCTCACGAAAGAGCCCCTCACACCGCGCGAGGTCCTTGGCGAAGGCCGAGGCCTGCATGACGGCGTTGTAGATCACATGATCCGCCCCAAAGCGCTTTAAATGAAGGCGAAAAATGTCGTTGACCCGCGGCATGAACCGCTTGGGGTCCTTCTCCACCAGGGGTAATAAATGCATAATAACGCGCTCGTTGTGGAGTCGCCCCCACCAAGACGCCTCGTGCATCAACCCAAACAAACGCCAGGACGCCTCGGGGGTCAATTCAAAATTATCGCCCGCGTTGTAGAAGCCGATTTCTTTGGGCCATTTGGTGTAGCCCAGAAAATGGAATTGCCGCTCCTGCCAGGTATTCGGCCGTCGTCGGGGATGCACAAGGTCGAGCGGGACGAATTGCTCGAGCTTTTCTTCCGGTATTTTGGGCCTCCAGGCTAAATTTTTGCCCCCTCGACGGGTATGTCCGGGGTTGTGTGTCCAGCCTTTTTTCAGGGCAACATAGGTGCGGCGAAACATACCAAAGGTGTATTAAAAACCACACCGCAAGGACTAGAAAATTCAGGAACAATGTCGAGAAAATGAAAAAAGTAAAGCCAAAGATTAACGTCCAGTCATTCCACGTGGTGCAAGTAAAACCAACAACAAGTAAGCGCAAAATCATAGTAGCCACCCGAGAGCTACCCAAAGTTCAGCATCAGTAAAAGCAATATATTTTTCCTTTTTCCATTTTAATATAAATATATAAATACAGATATATATATATATATATATATACATATATACGATCAGATCTCGTTTCCTATTCGGTAGAGATAAATTAAGTAAGTCACTAAACGAAAATGCAAACTTTCGAATAAATGAAAAGGGAAAACAAAAGCAACATGGTGAAGCATATTAATTCAATTTTAATAAAAATAAAATTATACCGCTAATGGAAAGTTTGAATCCTATCAAAAGTTCAAATTCAAACGATCCAAGAAATGACCGCTATTCGCTAGGGTTTCAAAGTTCTCAAAGGTAATATACCCATCACGATCGGTGTCAACTTCAATGAAAGTTTTGTCCACTATCTGCTGGAGCTGCATGGCCGTCAAATTAGCACCGACCATAATTCGTAGTGCCTGATATAAGTCTTTATTGCTGATTTTACCGTCTCCATCAATATCATACATTTTAAAGGCAAAATGAAGCTTTTCCTTTTTATCGGCTTGGTAGGAAAAGACTGAGAATGCTTTCACAAATTCTGTAAAGTGTAGATTTTTGTCACCATTCATATCCATCACCATAAAAACACGACCTACTAAAGGATTCGATTCCAACGCCAGTGTGGAGCTAAACTCTTTCCAAGAAAGATAACCGGTGTTGTTTCGATCAAGCTTTACAAAACTCTTGTGCAAACGAAGTACTTGGGCCTCCGTTAAAGAAGTCGTCCTTTGTATCTCCGACAGTTCATCTTTAGAAAGATGTACCTTACTCATTCTGTGGTTTATGACAAAACTCAATGACTTCAAAGAGGTAAACCAAACAAGAACAAATAATAGGGCCAGAAAGGTAGCATATTTTTATTATTATCTGAAATGTATACAAATTTGCTGTAGAATTTTTTTTACATAACCCGCTCAATTTAACTCTTGGCATGAATCACGGAAAAATTTCTCAAAAAGGTATCATCAAACAGGAAAAGTGTGTACACATGCAGAAACTCCATGCCAATATTTACACATCCCCCCCACCCCCTTAAGACAGGAAAATCATCATAAGAGGCATACTTCCTTTTATGTATAACGCATAGTTCATTTATAAATCGACAGCCTTTCCAATACTATTATATTTTGGGGTATTTTCTTTTCCAATTTGAAGTTGGACTTCTGGTAGGCATATCAAGAATTAATTTTAATTTACTTATCAGTTTAACAAAAAAAACGTATTTAGGTGAAATTCTATAACCTAATCTATCTTAACAATCTAAAAAATGATACAACACCAAAAATATCCACACAAAAAGCAAAAGCCCCAATGGTTCTATAGAATTATTAACACACCTTCCCCACACCCATACTACGATGAAAAAGCGGGTCTGAAGAAAGGAACAGTAAGGAAAGCTTACATGAATCAACACACATATAATCAGTCTCTAAAAAAAAAAAGCGGCAGACGAATGGGTCACCTTCGGATTAAAAAAATCTAAATAAGCTCTAATACAAAGAGAGAGACCAAGAAGAAAGTCATTCCTTACAGTTTCATAAACTTTTCACACGCTTTCGATATCTTGGGACACATCCTAAAATCAACCAATTGCTTAGACAAAAGGGCCTCTTTGGCGCCGTTCTCCAGGAGCTCCTTCAGATGCCCCTTTTGATTCATCACCCCTTTCAAAAGCACCCCTTGCAAATCACCGTACTTCCCTAATAACTGTCGTGCGCGAACCTTCCCAATCCCTTTAATTCCGGGGATATTATCCGAGATATCCCCGGCGATCGCTTTGAAATCTCGCACAAGTTTAGGGGGAACCCCGATCCGATTGACGACGCACTTTTCGGAAATTAAATGTTTGGTGCGGATGTCGTAATGGTAGCTTTTATTGGCCTCATCGATGAGCTGGTAGAGATCGTAATCGTGGGACATAACCACGGTTGGGATTTTCAATTTGTGATGTTGAAAAGCGACGCTGGCGATCATGTCGTCCGCCTCGGCATTCACCACTTTTAGTTCGGCCTCGGCGCCAGGGAGGACCAACGTCGTCCCCGACGGCTCCTCCTGAAAAACTTTTTTCATCACCTTTTCGATTAACAGCAACTCGGACGTTCGCTTGATGTCGATGCGGTTTTTTTTGTAGTCCGCGTAGACCTCCCGACGACCCCCATCGCCGTTGTCGAAAAAGACGATAATTTTGTTGAGTTTCGGCGTCCGAGTGTAGTCGATTTGCGGGGAAAGAAGATGCTGCGAGAGGTGGGCCGGATCAAAACTATGCGCGGTCGCGATGATATATCGCGCGTTTTTGATCGCGAAGGTCTTGGGATCGAGGTCGGTTCCATTTTTTTCGCGGGTGCAATTCCACCGATGGTACCAACGATGCACCACAGCCGGGCCATCAATCAGCACAGCAACTCTTCCTCGAAGAGACATCGGGCACAACTTACAGGAGCCTTTTTAAATAGAAAATACGCCGATATATATATATACATATATATTTAGTTCAAATAAAAAAAATAAGGGCAGTGAAGAAAATAAAAGTAATCCTTTGTGGGACACTGGGAAGCATGTTTATATATAGATCGAATAATCAGAAACATTCAAAAGGTAAGGTTATCCACCGTAATACCGGAGAACTCCCGCATGTCATCTCGAGTTAGGCCGAATATAATAACGTCCCATACGCGCAAATTAATCCTTCCGAAGATTCGCCACGCCCGCCGAGCCTGGCGGGTAAAGCCCGCGGCGGTTGAACTGCACTAAAGACAACTTCATCGGCTCTGGCAGAGTCGCGTCGTTCAATAACTCCCGCGCAGCCATTTGCTGAAGTTCGCGCACCTCGGCGCTGATTTCGGAATGCACGCCGGACAAAAAAGCGGCGTAAAGAAGAGGCATCGAATCCGAAAGAACGCCGCGGCGAATTACGGCGAGGGCGACGGCCCAAACCTCATACCGAACTCCTTCGTCATACACCGTGCGCAGCTTCCAGGCCTCTTTTATTAAGGAAGAAGGAACCCCCGCGGGCTCCATCCACGCCGAACGCAGCAAAGTGTGCAAAAAACGAAGCGCGGAGAGCCGCAGGGAATCCGACAAGGAGGTTAATAACCGAAGAAGCCGATCCGAGGGTAAATAATTCATCAAAACCCGCCAGCCGGTGGAGGTGGTGGCGGCGGAGCCCATGAGATCAAACGCCGCGTCGAGGGTCCCTTCGTCGGACGAGGCCTCGGCAATCCGCACGGCCCTCGGAACCCACAAATCCGCAAACCCCTGCGCGTTTTCCTCGTGTTGAAGGAGCACAATACTGCAAAAACGACAGACAAAATGGGTCAAAAGGTCCCCCTCCGGGGCTTCTAGGGAGTCTTGGATGTTGTCCAAAAGGGCCCTGGGAAGGGGCCGATGCCGGCCGATGATGCCACACACCATCAGGTTATTCACTAGCAATAATGGATCGCCCACCTCAAAAGCCCCACTCGTCGCCGAGATAACGCTGTCGATCAGACGCGTATGGGCCGAAAGATATGAATAAATCCGCGCATTCTCCGCCGAATCGGCCGCATCGCAGTCAAAAAGCCGAAGAACCTTTTCCTTTTCAAAGATCCCATCCATCATTTCCCCAAGGCGTTCCGCAATCGCCGCCGGGACGGCGAGCTCGAGGAGGGCTACAAAAGCCGAACGGAAAAGCGTCGTGAGCTCTAAATCCTCGTCGGCGATCACGTTGAAAATAAATTGGGGAACGCGCAAGGTCGAGTCCAAGGCGATAAACGCCAGGCCGGACGTTTGATCGGCTAACAGCTTCACCAAAGACTCGCCGATGACCTCCAAAACGTCGAGGTTTCGAACGGACTGGGCCTCAGATAATAAACTTTGCAAAACCTCCGCCTGCGCGGGATCTCGCCACGCGGAGAGCAAACTCGCCGGGGAGAGACTCTCCCGCAGTTTCGAGGCCGTCTCCACGCGCTGGGGAAACTTATCGGAGGACAAAAGCTCCGCCAAGGACCTCAAATCCTTCTCGTCCATCAGTAATCTTTAAAGAATAATAATAATAATAACGGGGTTTCTAGCTATTCTGAAGTGATGAGGTAAAACTTTGGGTAGTTTACACAGAACGGTGAGACCACGTCAGGTGATGAAATAAATAACATGAACGTCCTCCTCTTTCGGAAAAGTTTAGAGAAACCATTGTCCCCGTGTTTTGATAAATCTAACAGAAAATCACTGATTCAATGCAATACAATAAACCATTTGTTGTTCTAATTGGATAAGTAAACCCTCTCTTGGGTTTTCCTTTCCCTCCCCCCTCATACTCTCTCCGTATATGTAGTTTTACAAAAACCTCGACAAATCGGCTCGTGCACGATACTGCGAAGCCGTTGGCAATGTTCACTACAATACCACTCCTGACCACATTGAGCGCAATGAAAGCAATTTTTACTCATTCTATAGCAATAATCGCACAGGTGTGGCGTTTTCGAGGTGGACTCGCAAGGCTCAGGAATAATTCTCGGTAATGGCAACTCAAAACTCCCAGAAGTATTATCGCCACCATCCTTATCTCGCACAATATTCCTACCATTAGCCTCCTCCAAAGATATCACACGCCGCTCTAATAATCCAACATGCGCACTGAGATACTGCTGTTGTCTAGACAGATGGTCAACTGTCGATTTCAACGAGATAAAATTATCTTTCAGGAGCCTATTTTCTTCATACATTTTTTTTGCCGTTGAATTTTTAAGTACTTCCTATGTGATTGTGTATTATATAAGTCCAAGATGCATGTGTCTGATTAAGCTCACAAACGGTGTGAGCTAAGTTAGGCAGTTTCATAAAATGGATCTACCACATTTCAAAGATGAGTTATGAAAAACAAACTGGTATTTTAGAATATTAGATCGTTTTTGTTTTACCACATATTTCATTATAAAAACCTGTCGCGCAATATGGATTCAGAATTCAGAAGTTAAAGCTATAAATTAAAGTGAAATCACCGTATTCACACATGTTCAGGAAAAAAAAAAACTAAAAATGCAGAAATATTTATAAGTATAACCTTTACACAAGGATCTTCACAGTGCAGTCAATGTGCGTGATAATTTTGACTATAATCTTCAAGGTTGCAGGAATAGTTAAGCGATAAAAATATCATAATTAGTTTTGACATTACAACACTCTATCATCACGACAAACCCGAATCTTTTGAATTCTCTTTTTAACGGAGGTGAACGGCCTTTCATTCTTCAGAAGAGTCGACTGCTACTGGGATAAAAATGTCATATCCAGGGCCTTCAGTGGAGCATGTTTGTTAAATGGGAAGAGAAGGAATGCAATCATGAACAAGCTGCGATACATTAGCTGTAATGTTTTGTACCCTTTACAAAAGATAATATTATGTAAACATTAGCTAAAAATGGAGCGCTATGAATACATAATTTGATAAATACCAAGCTGATTTTCTGTTTGGGCTTCAAACCATTCTAAATAATAGTATGAATAAATAATATATCTATTGACACTATTTGTACTTTATTTTCTTTGTTGGAGAAAAAAAGAGTAAAAAGGTATATACTTATTGTAATCTAAGGAGGACAGAGGATCAATCTTCTCCATCATAAAAAATGAAAAATTAACTAACGCTACTCATATCCCCTCTATGAAAGGAACGCATTATCATCTCATTAAGGTTATAACATGTTAACATTTTTTATGTGGTCTTCCCTTTTTCATAAAAAACGGGAAAGTAAATGACTTCGAACCACATATTTACTTGAGCAATAATTTGTAGCTAAGTGATATCATCTTTGCTTAAATTCTTCGGATTTATTTTACTGCTCCTTGGTGTCATCTTAATCTGACCTAATGCTATTAAGGTAACCATTTAAGTAGATATTGTTACGATGATAACCACCAAGAAATGCACTCCTAATTACGTTTCTGTACAATTAATAAGAATTAGTATTATTAAAATTTTATTGATTTACTTGATATCGTCATATCTATTGTTGTACTATACTAAAATATAAATATACAGCAAGGTTTTCATCATCAAACCTACTAACAAATTAAGAAGTATTGTACAGTTGTGCTTCCATTGCTTTATTGTGCTATTAAACTCATTGAGTTCTGACCTTTTAGCAACTAGCATCAGCAAATTGAAAAAAAATATGCAAATGAAAGAGTTAATCAGTATTACCAAATAAAAGGGGAAAAAGTAAATCGTTAATTCCCTCTATTATTCTTCGTGTTACGTATGTGAGAAACAACAATTGAAATACAAATTTACACAATATACACGGAAACACTTCGTTTTTATGTGCATATAATCTCACTTTATTTAACCTTGCTTCTAATCCACGTGGATAATAATTTTTGTTTCATGATTTAGTCCAGGAAGTTGGACGAATTTCGGAGCGAAAGCCATATTTATTATAGTTAATGTGTCCAAATTTTTCGTTCGTAGAGCATATTTGAGACGTCATGCAATCTGCATAATTGAGTCTATGATAGATTCCACTCTTCCGCAAAACGATATCCATCTTACCCTCTAACTTTTTTGCATAGGGCGCGTTTTTGATGAGATGCATCAAAGGGCGGATAATTAAAACCAGGTTTGCCACCTGTGCGGGAGAGCTGATTGTAAGGGCAGTCTGAAGAACGTAATTACCGAAGTCATCCTGAATCAGCCGCGTCACCACCTCCGGATTACACATCGTATTAATATACATTTCCTGTATGGGTTGGGATGCACCCCGGAGAACCTTTTCCATCACATTCGAACTGAACTTGTTTATACAAAGATGGATGAGCTGTGGGAGAAACGCAACTGCTATGGTATCATTAATATTACTGTCGTTTGCCTGCAGAACGTACTGCAGGACGTAGTTCCCGAAAGGGTCCCTAGCAATTTGCAGACAGCAGCTCAAAATGTGATTCACCAGATCCGACTTTTGCGTTGGGGACGCAAACTCTAGGCAACGTTGAAGAACGCAGCAGCCCTGCTTGTTTTTCGCGATGGAAGCGCAATCGAGGGCAACCGCTTTGTAGATAAAATCCTTATCCTCATAATTAAAGCGCTGGAGCACCTTTTGGATCACATGATTGCCATGGGCGTTTTTGATTAGTCGCACGACATCATTCCTTAGCGCCTCCCGCACGATCTCCATCTCCTCCCTTGTAGAGATGGTCTCGATCATCTTCTGAACGCTGAAGGTACCGTGTGGCGTGAGGGCTATCAGGGATATCTTCGGCGCCGCTTTAAGCGCAACACTGTATCGGATGTCATTCGGCATTATATCGAAAAGCTTTTGGACAAGAAAGTTCGCGTACTGATCAGCCATAAGCTCCGCCACGTGGGGGATAATCTCTTGCATGATCACCTGCACAAACTCCGCGTCTGAATTGGTATCCAACCAGCGCTGCAAAAAACGGCATCCGTGCTGATCCTTTGCCGTTTCGTACACTTTTCCTCGAATGCCCTCTACCGTCATCAGGCTCATTGTGCCTTCCCCTGCCGGCGCTTGGCCCTTCATTCCCATGGATGAGCTCAGCCGATCCCCATAAGATAGGGATATTGAATCATGTGGTGGGGTCTCACTATTTAAAGACCGCCCTGGGGCCTTACGAGGGTCCATGGGATTAAGCGACTCCAGGAGAGACGGTAGAGGACCTCGGCTCCGGGTTGAATGAGCCGAAAAGGTGTCCCGTTCCGTAGCTCCATTCGGATTAAGATCCAAAAGAGAGTTGGAGATCGATGGATGGGGGGTATAGGGGATTTGGGTCGGCAAGGGGAGGTTCGCAAACTTGGTGCTCACCACAGGGGAGGTGGCGGGAGTGTGAAAGTACGGCCAGCTTCCGCTGATTTCTAATTTTTCGCCGGAGGGACTGCCATGCTCGGTGTGGGAGGAAAACACTTGAAGGCTTTTGGTGTACTTTCCGGTAGACACTTTGCATTGGTCCACTTCCTCAAAAACTTCATGAAGTATTTCCCGTATACTGGGCTCCGTTGTTTTATATTCATCCTCGTGAACTGTCCACGACATTGAGATGTTTGACTCAAGGTATTAAAATATTTGCTAACTAAAAAATAATACTGTAAGAAAAGTTTTAAGTTGAGAGAAAAATTAATAGAGATTTTTTCGTAGCATAAAGAACTATAGTATATGACTACAATAATACAATATCAAAAAAAAGCTGGTAGTTTTGAAGGGAACAAAGATAATCAAGCAGAACCAAATTAATATAGATATACTGCGTTACTTTCTATGAGCAACAAAGTTCGCTATAATTTTACAAGAATTTGATGTAGATGATAATGATATTGTGTTCAGCTTATTTGAAATATTGACATGATGGAACCATTCTTTCAGTCCAGATTCTGGGCATTTAAGATGAGCATCCAAAAGAAAGTCTTTAATATTTCTATCAAGATTTCCACAGGTGCATTGCTTTCTAAAATAGAGAAAATACGCATAAATACACAAGGCTGTTGCTGAAGGAATAAAATAACAGACCGGCTCCATCACATCCCATCCGTATACTACAAACGTTAAGTAAGCTAGGACTAACATTTGAATGCCACTGAGAAGAGCAATGAATGCCCAAATGTTACTTTGGTGTATAAAGATATCTTGTAGCTTTTCCGACACTGTATGTACTCTTTTAGAAACAAAATTATTAGACTCTTTTTTTGTCATCGCTATAAAGGGTATATCTAGAGGAAGTAGTGGCAAACCAGCTTTCATGTGCACTGCATTAATAATTTCCTCAGGCTCGAAATGTAATAAATCCTCCCCAACTTTAACTGCCTGACCAATTTTCAAAAGAATTCTTAAGTGCTCATTTGCTTCAGTATGTGTCATTTGAAATTCCTCTGTATTCCGTGAATTACCTGTACAAAGCGATAAAAATTCATCAATGCTAATAACTTTTCTACCTTGAGTTGAAATAACACTTCGAACATATAGCTTTTTTTTAATAACTTTAAACCAACAGACATATTCTACTAATTAGTAAAGTCAGCTGATAAGTTATTCTAATAAATCAGACAAATACTTTTAGAGTCACTGACAGCTATATGAACTAAAATTGAATTGTAAAAGTCTAAAAATGTAAATAAAATTTCCGAAAGGCAATATTTTGGTGGTAAGCTGAGTACAAAATTATCTAAAATAAACAATGACAATAAAATAATAATAATAATAATAATTTGTCATTTTCTTATTTTTTTTTAATGAAATTCACATTGTGATTGATTCCAATAATATATATATAGGTCAAGACATTTTTACAGCCAGTCTTAAATTAAACTAGAGCTTTTCTCTTTATACTATTAAAGTATATCAAATTTGGTCTAGGTAATCATGTAGCTGATCTACAGTTAAAATTTCAAAACGCTTCTCAATAACCCTCCCGACTTGTGTATTCTCTGCAGTCATCTTGCCAGAAAACCCCTCCTTTAGCGTTAAAAGTGCAGTGTGAATGGTATCTTCCAATTCCATATCACTGGTGTATCGTTTTTGAAGAAAAGACTTTGCATCAGAGCTTCCTTCCCCTATAGCGGTAGCTTTCCATGCACAAAATGTTCCACTGGGATCGATTTGATAAAGGTGATGGCCGTTAGCATCCACACCCGCTACCAAAAGAGAGCAACCAAATGGGCGAACACCACCAGACTGCGTAAACTCTTGGTACAAATAACTGATCTGTCGTACAAGCTGGCTTACAGGAATTGGTTCGTGGTATGTAAGCTTATACTGTTGACAAGATTTTCGTGCTGAATCAATGAGAACACGACTGTCCGGCCCCATTCCACTGTAAGTGCATCCAACATGATCATCTAAAGCAAACATTTTTTGTATGGATGAAGAATCAATAAGTGGTGTTGTAGTTTTTTTCTTCGCAGCAATAACAATACCATCTGTTGCCTTAATTCCAAGCGTTGTTACACCCTTACTTGCTGCAGTAGTTGCATATTCAATTTGAACCAGCTTACCTGAAGGACTGAAGGTTGTAAGACCATAATATGCATCAGACATCCTGACGTAAAAACACACTCAATGAGAAAAATAAATTAGAAGAAATTTTCCTTTGGAATACTGTAACTAAAGAATCGATAATACTAATAATGATAGTGAAGGAAAATAAGCAAAATAAATTAATATAGGGAAAAGTAAAGTGAGCGATAAACAAAAAGGAAAATTTTCACTGATTTTAATATCTAGTTTGAATAATTGGCATAAACAAAGTGTCAAAATAATTAATTAAAAATACATTATTTATCCATCTTTACACACTAACTTTTGTGCATTGATTATTATTATTATATAGTTGATCTTTTTTTTTTGAGAAAATATGACATATCAAGAATGTATTAGAGAGAATAATTTTTATGGTTTCTTATTCACTTTAATAAAACTTCTCTTCAAATAGACACTATAGTTTTTTCCATAAACAGATGCTATTTAATTGTATAGTTGTCAGTAGCGATGAATGATAACCTTGTGAAATGATTAAATTAGGACCCAAAGTCAACCATACTTTTTTGGAGAGTACTAAGTTAAAAAAAAGTGTATCAGAGGGTTTATCATAGTGCATAGACACGCAATAATAGTAAGCTGGGTAAGAGGTAAGTTCTTGGTTATTAAACTTTTTTTTTGCTGTCAAAAATTGTCTATACAAAGTAAAAATACTGAGTATGATGAGCTCCTCGAAATAATCAACAGTCCACTGTTATTGTAATTTTATAATATTACATTTATATTCATAGTAGTATTATAAATGTGGTCGTTATAGTTCCTGGAACCTGTATAAATTTGTTCTATTAGGGGTTTTTATCATAATTAAACCCCATTTTTGAAGCATTAATCTTCGTTGATCTTGATAATTTTGAACCGAGTTAATCTATCTAAAAAATGTAAGCTTGAATTCTTTCTAGAAATGAAAAAAATATGAAATTAAAAATCAATACTATGCCACTAGGTTTTTGAAAGCATTAAAACATACATATTTAGATATCAAAATTATTATTCGTGTGATTTAGTAGAATTAGAATAAAGCAAAGGAAATTGTGGCTTTGATTAGCACTCAAGCTTGCGAAGTTTCGAGTTGCCGTTGATAAGGCGAATGTCAAGCTCGTGGGCTTTACGTAGAATGGCCTTGCGGCTACGCGCACCAA